CGCGCCCCCTCCCCAATTCGTGCCCCCGGGGGGCGCCGCCTGCTCCGGGGACCCCCCGGCCGTGGCCGCGGCGCGCCGCGACTTCCCCTGCAAGGAGGCGGCGCTGGGCGCGTACGCGGGCGCCTTCGCGGGGGTGAGATTTGGGGCGAATTCGGGCGGTTTTGGGTTTTTGGGGTTTTTTGGGTTTTTTCGGGGGGGTTAGTTTGATTTTATTTGGGGGTTTTGGGGTTTTTTGGGGGTTATTTGGGGTTTTTTTGGGGTTATTTGGGGTTTGGGCGCGTATGCGGGCGCCTTCGCGGGGGTGAGATTTGGGGCGAATTCGGGCGGTTTTGGGTTTTTGGGTTATTTGGGGTTTTTTTGAGGGGGGGTAGTTTGATTTTATTTGGGGTTTTTGGGGTTTTTTGGGGTTTTTTTGGAGTTTTTTGGGGTTTTTTGGGGGTTATTTGGGGTTTGGGCGCCTACGCGGGCGCCTTCGCGGGGGTGAGATTTGGGGCGAATTCGGGCGGTTTTGGGTTTTTGGGGGTTTTTGGAGTTTTTTTGAGGGGGGGTAGTTTGGTTTTATTTGGGGTTTTTGGGGTTTTTTTGGAGTTTTTTGGGGTTTTTTGGGGTTATTTGGGGTTTGGGCGCCTACGCGGGCGCCTTCGCGGGGGTGAGATTTGGGGCGAATTCAGGCGGTTTTGGGTTTTTGGGGTTTTTTTTGGTTTTTTGGGGTGGTTTTGGGGTATTTTTATGGGATTTTGGGATTTTTGGGTTTGGGGATTTTTGGGTGGTTTTGGGGCTATTTTGGGGTTATTTTGGGTTATTTTTTGGGGTGACTCGCTCTGTCCCCCCAGCTGTACGTGACCCTGGCCTGGCGGGGGGGGATTTTGGGGTGGTTTTATGGGATTTTGGGGGTTTTGGGTTTGGGGATTTTTGGGTGGTTTTGAGGCTATTTTGGGGTTATTTTGGGTTATTTTTTGGGGTGACTCTCTGTGTCCCCCCAGCTGTACGTGACCCTGGCCTGGCGGGGGGGGGGGTCCCGCCTGGCCAAGCCCGCCGCGGTTTTGGGGTTCGCGGCCCCCCCGTTCCTGCTGGGGGCGCTGCGCGTGGCCGAGCACCGCAACAGCTGGGGGGGGGTCCTGGGGGGCTTCCTGTGCGGCACCGCCATCGCCGCCTTCCTGGTGAGCGCCCCGAAATCCCCGAAATCACCCCAAAAAATCCCCCAAAAAATCCCCGAAAAAATCCCCCCAAAAATCCCCAAAAACCCGCTCCGAAATGCCAAAAATCCCAATAAAATCCCCCAAAATCACCCCCGGGTTCCTGTGCGGCACCGCCATCGCCGCCTTCCTGGTGAGCGCCCCGAAATCCCCTAAATCACCCCAAAAAAATCCCCAAAAAAATCCCCGAAAAAATCCCCCCAAAAAATCCCCCAAAAATCCCCAAAAACCCGCTCCGAAATGCCAAAAATCGCAATAAAATCCCCCAAAATCACCCCCGGGTTCCTGTGCGGCACCGCCATCGCCGCCTTCCTGGTGAGCGCCCGAAATCCCCGAAAATCACCCCAAAAAATCCCCGAAAAAATCCCCCCAAAAATCCTCAAAAACCTGCTCCGAAATGCCAAAAATCCCAATAAAATCCCCCAAAATCCACCCCAAAATCCCCCCAAATCTCCCCAAAAATCCCCCAAAATTCCCCCCAAATCCCCCCCAAATTCCCCAAAATCTCCCCAAAATCCCCCCAAAATCTCCCCAAATTCCTGCTCAAATCCCCCTCCAAAATTCTCCCCAGAATCTCCCCAAAATCCCCAAAAAGCCCCCAAAATTCCCCCAAAATCCCCCAAATTCCCCCTAAATTCCCCGAAATCTCCCCAAAATCCCCCAAAATTCCCAAAATTCCCCCAAATCTCCCCAAAATCTCCCTAAATTCCCCACATACCCCCAAAATCTCCCCAAAATCCCCCCAAAATCTCCCCAAATCCCTCAAAATCCCCAAAATCCCCCAAAATTCCCCAAATTCCGCCCCTCGCCAGGTCACGTGTGTGGTCGGGAACTTCCAGAGCCCGGGGGGGGATTTGGGGGGGGCGGGGACCCCCCGAGCCCCCCCCGAGCTGCCCCCCCAAAATCCCCACCCCCCCCTGGAGGAGATCAGCGTGGCGCAGGTGAGACCCCAAAAATCACCCCAAAATCACCCCAAAAATCACCCCAAAACCACCCCAAAAT